CCCCCCCCCCCCTAATACCGACCCCGGCCCAGACCCGCCGCCCTCCCGGTGCGGAAAGGAGAACAGAACGTCGCGCCTGGCATTCATATACCCTCGGTTGTGGGCGGGGCCGCAGCGCTACTCACCAATCAGCGACGGCGCGCGCAAGCAGAAGCCAATGGCATTCCCGCAGAGAGCAAGGGGCGGGGCTTAGCCACACAGAGAGGCTTCCAATCAGAGGCAGAAGCGCGCGGGCACGGGCCAATGGATGCCAGGAGAGGCGGGGTTATAGACCCGGAAGTGAAGACAAACCGGAAGCGGGTCCCTAAGACCACGTGGGAGCGCTATGGGGATTGGGGGGAAAATCAACCGGCCCCGGACGGTGAACGGAGGGTCCGGGAGGGTCCCGGGGGGGCCTGGTGGGGTCCGGGGGGGCGAGAACAAACGTGGGGGTGTGGTGTGTTCCGGTGGGATCGGGAGGCGCGGGATGGGGGATGTTCCGGTGCCCGTTAACCCCCCGTGCCCCCCCCAGGAGCTCCGTAAGAAGCTGTTCAAGCGGCGGCGGGAGCTGGCGCGGGGACGGCGGCAGAAACGGCGGTGAGACCCTCCCACCCTTTTCCCCCCGCGGTGCCCCCCCAGCCCGTGCCGGTGGCTGAAGGGGGTCCCTGGGTTGTCTCCGGTGCAGGTCGGGCCCGGCGGTGTCGGTGCCGCCCCCGCTGTGGGGGAAGAGGCGGCGGAAGGAGCTGAAGCGGCTGCGGGGAGCGGCGAAACGGGGTGAGAATTCTGAGGGGGGTGGCACCGGGGGTGTCCCGCGGGGGGGTGGGGACACGACTGGGGACACCTCTGACCCCCCCCTCCCCCGGTGTCCCCCCAGCGCTGGAGGCGGCGGCGGCTGCGGGGAGAAAACCGGAGATGGAAACGAGAAAGGGGAAAAGCAGCGACGTGGAGATGGAAGAGGAGGAGCCCCTGGGGACAGCGGGGACACCCCCAGAGACACCCCTGGAGACACCCCCGGGGACATCCCCGGGCACCGGGGGCACCTGACCCGCACCGGAGTCACTGGTGTCCCCTCCCCCTCAGCAGTGGCACTGGGGTCACCTCTCTGGCACTGGTTTGTCACTGGGGTCACCAGTGTCATCTCCCCAGCACTGGGGCCACCTGTCCTTCACTGGGATCACCTGAGTCTCACCAGTGTCACCAGTTTGCCACTGGGGTCACCAGGGGGGCACCAGTCTCACCTCCCTTTCCCCAGTGTCACCAGGGGCACTGGGGACACCAGCGTCACCTTCTTGTCACCAGTTCATCCCCAGGGTCACTGGTGTCCCCTCCCCAGTGGCACTGGGGACACCTCCTGGCACCGGAGTCCCACCAGGGTGCCCAGTTTGTCACCAGGGTCACTTTGGGGACTGATTCCTAATTGTTGCTGTTTATTGTTACTATTTAATGATTCATTAAAATATTCCCGTTTATTTTCTTCGTCCATCGTTGTCGACGCCACCCCCGGAGAACAAGGAGACCGGGGCTGGAAAACTCCCAGGTGGGGCTTTGGAGCCCCAGTGCCCCCAGTTCACACCAGTATCCCAGTCTGTGTCCCCAGTTCACACCAG